GGCCGGCTACGGCGCGAGGGGCAGACTGGGGCGCGAGGGGCAGACTGGGGCGCGAGGGGCTAGCGAGGCGCGGTAGGCTAGGGCGCGGGGCGGAAGCGGATGGGTGGACCTACCTACTCATGATACCATGTCAGCATGAAAGAATGACATTACCCAAATGAGTACAAGGGAGATATGGTGTTGGGTTTGTACCCTCTATGAACATACACCTATCTAGCCTATAACTTCTTTATGACAACATATGTATAAGTTAACAATTAGCCTCATTCGTCCCTACGTCCCAAGAACGTCCGCAATCGCATGACCAGCGGTCGCCTCTAGTGTCCGCCCAATGGCCGAACCGACACTCGAGCCTTTCCAGCTTCCATGTCGTCGCATCCGCCTCGACGCTACAATACGCCACGTGGATTTCCTTGTCCGTTGGGCCGAACGCACAAGCGAAGACGACACATGGGTCGATTCCGACTCGCTTCAGGAACACTCGATACTCATATCGTATTTGACCCGCAAAGGCGTTCCCGATATTGGCCACCTTTCTTAGAACGGGGGTATTGTAAAGATTTTTTTTCCTTACCAGGTTGTACTGCATCGCATACACCCGAACTCTCAGAAGACCAGGTGTATTACATCACTGTTACACGTAGCAGCACAGCGTGAAAAAACCCGTCTCCCTTAACGTGGAACAGGTGTATTACATCACTGTTAGCGGGACGGCGGTGAACAAGGCAAGAATGATGGTATTTTTCAGTCGTACGAATGCGTGGCTGTACGATATTTGAGGAAACGCATTGACGCACGACCGTCTGTGGGCTTCTCTGTTTCCCCTAGCTACAGTGAGCTTCCATATATGGATGAAATGAAATCAAACCACGGTCCGACTATGACGATTCACGAACATCATACTGTATATTGCTCTGTTCTGCTCAGGGCAGCCACTCCAGGTCTTGGGCTTGGCCCGAAACAAAGGTACACATAGATCGCAGCATTTTCACAACATGGAAACTTTCGAGTCAAACACGCCCAGCCCGGCTTCAGGATTGGGGCGATGGAAACCCTAAATACTTCTGTCTGGTTCAACAGGAAGGGTATGGCGGACTCGAAGAGCATGCCTCTCGTACGGAAACAGTAATGCTGTAGTTGTCGTTGAACCCCGTGAGAGTTCGCAAAGGCACGTAAGGTTCGAGCAAGAAAAGTATTGACGATATTTAAACATTTTTTCTTGAGACAACCGCGGATAGCCATAGGTCAAAGAATAAATAGTACTATGTATCAAGTTATTCGTAATGAAGATGTCGCAAGTTAGGTGTACTCCGGAGAAACAGACTCGAGGTCACAGCGATGCAATACATGGCACCAGCGGAAAGGCTTATCACAAACATACGTTCTGCGCTTGCCAGCACTGGCATAGACTACCAGAACCAGAAGGACACCCTATGCCTACAGATCGAAGGCTCAGGGAACTACAATGTACAAGTACCCACTACACGTCATATACTCATAGCGTGGTTTCGATAAATACCCCATACTACTCTATAAACAATTTATCTTTGTATTATCTTATGATGTACGCCACGAGTACATGAACCGAAAAAATCTGTAATGCATAGTTGAACCAATCAAGATAACTGCGAAAATTCGATATGAAGGCGAACACTAGATAATGAGCTCATAGTATAGGGATTTTATCACATTCTCCAACCAATGCATGGAGCACAATCCGTATTATTTTTTAGTATCTTTACATAAAAATTTAAATCCACTTATGAGCCGTCACATTTAGTGAACTGATTCCGTTCGAAGAATTGTGTCGAGCTTGTTTGTGCCGACCACTCGAGGTGCGCTTCATGTGTGGTCTTCACAGCTGCTCAACTATGTCGAATTGCGTAACTTAGGCTGGTAGTTGTTTTCGAAAATAATACAGGGTCCCCTCGCAAGCCCCGCCATGACGAAATATCTTTACCAAGGCCGCATGTATTTGCGCTTTATTGGTAATGCAAAAATAAGCACACTGTATTTATTTCTGGTAGAGAACGTTGATTATTATGACAATATGATACTTTATAATGAAATATAGGTTAATACACGTACAACGTGACAAGCGAAATATGCTCGCAGCATATGCCAGCTGCTGACTATGCGTAGTATATAACAAACAAGGCTCCAATATTCCGGGAACCTATATAGTCCTCTTTGTCCACGTCATATCTCCCTTATGCCATGTATTACAAATTCGTTGGGTTGCGAATTGGGTGTAATAAAAATACGACATGTACCATCATTTTTTCCTCATGTTATACCAAAATATTCATAAAATCCGAATTGCGGTGGTAAAATAAAAAGGAGTGCATAGTAGAATATGTGTACCTACTATAGTTCAAGTGTTCCGTCGTAAAAAAAAATTGATGCTTCCATGTTTTCTTAAAGAATCCCGTAGCCAATTGACTGCCATAAACAAGCTCAGTTTGTTTAAAGCCAGGGTCTCAAGTACCGAGATCTGGCAGTAACTGCAAAACAATTACCGTATGGTTACCCTGTTTTGAGGGCGCGAAATCGCAATTTGCCCGCTGTGCGACACAATGCCTCTTGCCCCAAGACCATTTGCAAAACAACTTCTAGGTACTCGAGACTTTTGAGTTTCCACGGGGGTTTGCGGCCGTTGTAGGCTTAGTAATCGAACCAAGCCCGTGCCTAGCTGGTTCGGTTTTGTAAAAACGAAACCCAATCGAACTCGCCACCCGTCGTCAAATCTCTAACCAAACTTTGCACGTCGTCAGCCAATCCCAACCAGCCCCTGACTCCAACTGCAAAACAGTTGTGGTACTTGAGACCCTGGCTTTAACATTTAGAGCCAGGAATTTTGGGTCAAACCGAATTCTGGTCGTTTCTCTTGAACTTAGGGTGATATAAGCAAGGTGAAATGGCAAGCTCTTTTGTATTTTCCTAGTCTCCTTTGAAAACGTTTACAGTATCTGGAATCAGGTGTTCTGACGTTTTTTGTTCTGATGTCCACCAACTTTTCAATGACGTGTTCAGCGAAAGCATGATTGCGAGCAAACATGGATGTTTGTTGAAGGGATGCTGCTCAGTGGGTGTGCTGTGACCTGCTGCACCGTCCAGCAACTCCCGTTGACAAAATGGATGTCTAAGCACGGAGCTGTAAACGTTAAGAACCTCGCTCAACCTGCGAGAGTTGACCTCACATCCATCGACTCGACACACTTCTCTGGTCTGGACACGTGCACAAATGCATTGTTTGTTTGCATTCCCCGATGACTTGTTCTATGTTGCACATGCCAGAGGCCTCTCGATATCCTAGGGGTCACCCTGCAGTTTCCGAGTTTGCCCGAGATGCAACTCGTCCAAACGGGGGAACCCTAAAAAGTTTGACTGTTTTTGTTGGGAAGAGTTTCGTCAAGCTCGGAAGAGGCGGGGAGAATTTTTTATTAGGGGCGTGAACGTTTACATTAGATTTTACAGGGCGGGTCTATCCCGTACTCGGAAATTGACTGTGGGATAATTCTGGTTTGCCTGTCCAATGACGGGTATCATTATCCTGAATGCGTCAAAAGCAAGGCTTGGTTAAACTTTCACCTTTTTCCTTGAAAAGCAGTGTAATTACCCTGACTTCCAGAAGCCTGGCGGACATGCCCATTGTCTGCCTGTTTTCTGTCCTCTCTGCTCCACCGTCACAATCGTTTACTGTGAGAGAACTGCCAGGATGAGGAAAGTGCAACCACCCCTGAACTCCAGGAAACGGCTCCAGGCCTTAGATCAGAGTGCTCAACAGCTGCAGATTGTTGATTTCGTATGTACCAGAAATCTACGGGTTGATTCGTCACAAGCTTCCCACAGCCTGTCCAAACTGCAGATTTTCTGTGTGCTGTCGTGTACAAAGTTGCGATTTCCTGGCACTTTTTTTTCTTCATCATTTTTCTCGAAACTACGCACTATCCATCTGCGAATCCAGTCACAGAAATTAGACTCAAAACAAATGAGGTTCGCAATTTCGTTATGGGTGCTGAAATGTTGACGTATTTATGTTACGTGAATTGTTACTCAGAAATTCTGAAGCCACTTTGGAAATTCCCTAAGAGGACCGAAAGTGAAGCATGCGAAAATGGTACTGTATGAATAGCCACTGAACACGCGCTGTATGCTTCCTCGTGTTGTGCAGCTCTAGGATCTGCCACCGTCGCATTGGCCGTGGATGGAGTGCAGGCCTCTTGCTAAAAGGGTAATTACCCTCAATGTTGATAAATTAAGAGTTATTGTTCGCTGGATTCCTTTTTGGACGAGTTAAAATCTCCGGATTCCGTCCACATAACGGACTGGATTCCATGTGATTCCTTAACATTACGGGCTACTTTCTTTTGATTCCGTATTCCTTGACTGTATTTGAACACCCGCTTCCCCCCACTACTCCCCTCCAGTTCCCCGCCAAGAGTGCACTATCTTTCCACCTGCTGTTTTGTAGGAAGACAAGCAGAACAGAAAAAAAAAAAAAAAAACAAGAGGCGACGAGATCGTCTTAGGGTTGCGGAGCATTTCATGATGAGACTTTATTATACATAAAATGTTTTATTTCCATCACAAAAAGCATTTAATTTTTATTTCACAAACTTGAAAAAAAAACCAGCCCGATCGATTGCAATAGGTTGCTCCGCAACCCAAAAAAAAAAAAAACCACTCTCCCGACCCGGCCCTCAAAGGCACAGCACACCTTGAATCTCACCTCGCCTCTTTCTGAACCTTGGCGAAGGCTCTCAGTCTGTGAGGACGGTAGCATAGCACGAAGGGTAGCTCGTCAGCGAATCCGTATGCTAACGGGTACTTCTCTGTAGATTCCGTCCATAATTCTGGGTCGATTCCGTCCCCTGACGGAATCCCCTAGGGCTTAGCGAGAGGCCTGATGGAGTGAGACTCCTGCCCACGCCTTGCATCATGTCGCAAACGTCAGTCATGAAACTAATGCAACTTTTGTGGTGCAAACACTTCAACCCACAGCAGCATCAGGACTTTTTGTTTGGAGCAGCATTGTGGCCTCGTAGCGGAGAGACTGGAGGGCCTGTGAGTCCTAAGTCACTTGATGATTCTCCATGCTGACCGATCTCGCAAAGTTTGCAATCTCGTCTCCTCAAATACGCGAAGTTAGGATTCCGAGTCGGAACCACAGCCGTGTCCTGATTCTTTGCCGCATTTCCCGCACCCGCTTTTTCCGAACCACTCACAGGAGTTCGTCACGAACCATCGATAATAATCTCAGTTGCATTCGTTTGCCTCTTCTCGTTCAAAATACTTCTTCTGCGCACGGAATTCCGAGGTTAATAGAGTCTATTGTTACTCGCGATCGGCAACATGGCTGAGCAAGCCCTGCTTTTGCGGAGTGGGGTGGACGGCTCTCAACCTGAAGGTGATCACGTGTCGATCTTGGTAGAGCCACGAAACGGCGACAATGCTGCGTCTGTCTCGACAACGATCGTTGTCGAAACGATAAACGGCGCAGCCACCGGATCGCACGCAGAACGCGACGATGCCGCCGCCGCCGCTGTTGCCGGCGGCGAGGCCGCGTTGCATGGCCAGTCGACGACGAACCCGCAGCCTGTGCGGAATCCACGGCGAGGTGATACCAGCACAGCGTCAAATGACACGTCGGCAGAGGGTAAACTGAAACGGAAAGGGCTGTATGACAGGAGCGGCAGTTCCGAAGCGAGATGCTTTGAGACCGAGTCGATGTCGATGCTTTGCGGCCCGAGCAACAAAGTCGCAGACTATCCCAGCGACGACGACGGCGACGACGGGGACGACAGCATGTCGAAGCGGAAACAGTTCGTGAAATCTCTTTATGGAGGAAGCGCCACGAGCGGCGGAAGCGGCAGCGCAAGCAGAAGCGGAAGCGGAAGCGGAAACGGAGAGGAACAAGACGAGAAGGGGAAAGACATCGAGGCGCCCATCCGCGTGCGACGCGGGGACTTCGACCTTAAGAGCGAGAACCACTACGTGATCGTGATTCATGGGACGTTCGACGCGCCGCCGGCCGACGGCGCGGCGACGTGGTATCAGCCGCCGGCGCCCGGCGAGCAGAACTTCTGCCGCAAGCTGAGCCGGCTGCTGGCGGGGGGACCCATCGGGGAGGACGCCGTCTGGCGCGAGCTGCCGTGCTCCGCGCTCCCGGGAATACCGTACCCGTTCCACTGGGACGGCACCAACACGCACGCCGGCCGCGTCACGGCTGCCATGAAGGTGAGCAGGGAGAAAGAACGCACTGCTCGAGATCGGAAACCCTGCGTTTCAGAGGGCCACTCGGATGGCGCGGCTCGGCGAAGGCCGTCAAAGAAAAAAGGGGGGGGGGGGGAGGGAGGGGGAGGGGGAAAGAGGGGGGGGGATGAAGGGTCAGCATGAAGGGAATGGGAATTGGTTCTATGCTGGTGATGTATCCACAATTTCTCTAGAGGAAGAGTATGGATCAGGTTGTAAAGCCCCAAACCTTTTCAACTACAGTAGGAACATGGAAAGCCCTGTCGACGGGAAGGGAAACCCCCTGAGGGCTTGTTCCTCGCCTGTGGCACACCTAGTGGCAAGCTGGCCGTGCCACGAAGAGGAATACACCGCCTTTGTGGCAACCAAAACCAAGCGGGGGGCGACAAACCGGCACGAACGGCCGTTTGCCCAACCAGCGAGCAGTTGATTGGCCCACTTTGACACCAATCGCGAGTGTGCTGGCGAATTGAAGCTCCCATCGTGCAACCTTGTTGCACGACCATCGTGATCCCTGCTACTGCAAGGGCGACCTGTTTACGACCCGAGATTTCTGAAGTGTCGCAATATACAGTGCGACTCCCGCTTTTGTTGCCTGGCGATTTCGTGCTGGGGGTCGTTCGTTGGTTGATCGCTGCCCCACCGTCAGCAATCGCGTACACGAACTTCAGATCAGACGCGCCAACTTGCCACAAAGCGTGCCACAGGCGAGGAACGGCCCTGACTCCTCTCGAACCTTGCAGCATGTGCACTGCAACCCCCCTACAAGCGCCCTCTCCCGAACCCTCCTGAACCCCATTTTCGGTCAATTCTACCGCACTCTAACCCTTCGCAACGAGCCACTCAACCTTGTGTATGCTGCTTCTACATTTGCTCCGCTCTTCAGCTACACAACTACATTTCGTTCTCTATAAGACTATAACCCTTGTTATTACTTTTTGTTAACTGTTTTATTCTATCTAACAGTAGTCGAAAACTCCTCATTTTCACCCCCCCTTCAGCTACACAACATGATCGACCGTATAGCTCAGAATGACCCAGCTGCTCGGATACACTTAGTGGCGCACTCCCACGGCGGCAACGTGTTGCTCAAGACAATTGAGTTGGTAAGTGAAATTACATGTTGAGAAAAAACAGTAGCAACTATCTTCCATGTGCAATTTCTTCGTTTAATGTCAATCATTACACTTTAATTAACTCCAATCCCATCTCTCTTTCCCTTTTCCCATCCTTTCCCCAGTACATGGAGAAGCTGGGCCGCCGCCCCAAGGACGAGTGGCACCCTGCGGTGGCGAGGCAGTTTTGGGCGGCGCACCGGCGGAGCTACGAGCTGATCAAGAAGTGGCGGCTAATCGACCTGTGCCGGTCGTGGTGGCGCTTCTTCCCCCTCCTTGTCGTGTACAGAGGGTGAGTGAGGGAGTAAGGGAGTAAGTGAGGGGGTGCGGGGGTGAGTGTTGAGGGACGAGTAGACGTGTGAGTGAGGGATAACCACTAAACATCTCCATAATTCGTTTTCTGTACCATCAATGGCGAAAAAACAACCGAAGTGAATCTCGTCCCTCCCCCCCTCCCCAATTCCTCTCCCCCCTCCCCCCCCAACCCACTCCTTCACAGTTTCAACGGTCAGAGGGCGGGAGGCAAGAAAGAGAGCTACCCCCAGTGGTTGGGATGAAAGAAGGCTGTCCCTCCTCCCTAACGCACCCCTCCTTCCCCCACCCGCTCCCTCCCAGATTCAATGGGCAGAGGGCGGGCAGGGTGAAAGAGCAGTTCCCCGGCTTTCTGCTGGGGCTGCTGCGGCTGCTGGAAGGTTTCATAGGTCCACCCCCCCTCCCCCTCCCCCACCTCCCTCCCTCCCTCCCACTTGCAGATTTAACAGCCAGAAAACAGTGAAGGTAAAAGGGCAGTACCGTGGGCGTGCCACCAGTGGCTGGATTCTTTTCTCGGGCTGCCAGCAGTGTGGCAGGCAGCGGCGATCCTCTCCCTTGTCTCGTCTCTAACCCACCCCCACTATCCCCCACCCCCCCCCACACACACAGTGATTCTACGGCCACTTCACAGCTGGGTTGTATTTTTTAGGCCCCTAGAAAATAGCCCCCTCCTCCCCGCACACGCAGAGATTCTACAACCAGTTCACAGCTGGGGTGAAGAGTCTATTTTTGAGGCGCCTAAAAAATACACTCCCTCGTCTCACACAGATTCACCAGCCAGTTCTCAGGAGCAGTACCCCTGGGCGTACCAGCTCTCCCCACCCGCACTGATCTCATTCCATCCCCCCCCCCACATGCAACAGGTTCCCCCCCACATGCAACAGGTTCCCCCCCACGTGCAACAGGTTCAACGGGCAGAAGACAGTGGGCGTGAAGGAACGGTACCCATGGGTGTATGCCCAGGGGCTAATTTCTGTACCCACCCCTTTCTCCCCCTCCCCTCCTCCCCCCCTTCACAGTTTCAGTGGCCAGAAGACAGTGGGGGTGAAGGAACAGTACCCGTGGGCGTACGCAAAGTGGCTGGACTCGCTTCTGGGGCTGCCGGCAGTGCGGCAGCGGCGTTTCCTCTCCTTCCGCCACGCCACCTCGCCCATCACCAACGCCCTCGGCGCCCTCGTGTTCCTCGGCACGCCCTTCTACATCAAGAAGTGGCAGCACCACGGGCTGCTGTGGCTGGTGGCTTCTACCACGCTTTCGGTCGGGCTCATGTTCATTTTCATCATGGGCTACACGTCCCTCTGGCAGATCCTCGTGCTGCTGGCTGCTGGCCGGCCGGAAGAGTGAGTGTTTGGGTGACTGGATCTGACCCCACGTACTCATCTCATATTTTCCCTCTCATTCACGCTAACCTCGTGCTCCCTTTCCTCTCTTTCTCTTTTCATCTCTTCCTCTCTCCCACCCCCATCAAACACCAGCTTCTACACTCGATCCGGCCCTCACTTGCTCATCTTGCTACACTTCCTCATTGCCACGGGGATCATGCTGCTTGTCCTTGTCAAGCAAATCATGGATGTTAGTACAACGATGTGATTTTGGCAGGAGGCTGATGTTAGGATAAACAGTCTGGTTGTGAATGCAATAATATGCGGTCTTGTGATGCGAGATGGGTGTGAGTGAAACGAGACATACATGTGAGTGTGAGCACGATGCGACATGCATGTGAGCGTGGGTGCAACGAGATATGCATGAGCGTGAGTGCGATGCGGCATGCATGTGAGTGCGATGCGGCATGCATGTGAGTGCGAGTGCGGTGCGACCCCCTCCCCCCCTTCCACTCCCCTTGCTAACATCCCCTCTTCCCTCCTAACCCCTCAATGTGTGTTCTGCAACTTCAACCACTAGCCCTCGCTCTCTTTTGCTTGTCTTTTCATCTTCTCACTCTCCATGCCCCACTTCCACTGCCCTCAAGCGATGGCCAATACTGTGCTCTATAGTTGCAAAATGTACCACAACCTTCGATCTCCTCCACTCCGGTTTGTATCTTCCCGCTCACATTACCCCATCTTTACTTCCCTTGGGCGATAACACGAACACAGTGCTCTATAGTTGCAATCTGTACTACAACCTTCGATCTCCTTCACTTCGTTTCCCATCTACTTACTCTCGTTACACTCCTACTTTCGTCAGGTGACAAAAACCAGAGTTTTTTATAGCTGCAAGCTGTACCACTGTCTTTGATCTTATCCACTCCTTTTCCCCATCTTTTGCACTCCTTACCCCTCGTTTACTCCCACCAGGCGATGGGGAACACAGTCTTCTATAGCGGCAATCTCTACCACAACCCCACATTTGATTGGTCACCTGCCATGTCTGCTCTCGTCATTCATGCCGGCAAGATGGATGAGGTGAGTGAACCCAACCCCCCCCAACCCCCCTTCCCCTCTCCTTTTCCCCCCATGTCATTTTCCCCCCACGTCTCTGTCAGAACTCAGTCACTAACCACTGAGTTAAAAGGGCGTGTTACGTAGTGGGTTAGTGCGCCCACAACCCCCTAGGCAGAGAGGCCTGTAGCCCTTCCCCGAGGATCTCTCAAGGGCAACCCCAGCGGGTCTCTCGACAGTGCCCTCGTCCCCCCCAACCCTTTTCCACAATGCTACCCTCCTGCCCCGTTCTGGCAAGCTAAATGGTGTGATTGACATACCCACCAAGTCCCGATTCTCCACCTCTTCTCTTCCCAATCAGTCTAGTACTCAACCGTCTTTGGAATTTCTACCAATTTGCCCCCTCTCTTCACCACCAGTTCTTCCCTCTCTTCGCTTCATTGAGTTTACCATTCCTCAACCGAAACAACCCCCCAACCCGCTTCCCCCTTCGTCCCCTCCCAGCACCAGGCCAGTCTAGCCCTTTCCATGGAGCCAGTCTCTCGCATATAGCCATCTAGTAATCACTTCGCTCCCTCTCTTCTCTCCGTCATCCCCCTCTCTTCTCTCCGTCATCCCCCTCTCTTCTCTCCGTCATCCCCCTCTCTTCTCTCCGTCATCCCCCTCTCTTCTCTCCGTCATCCCCCTCTCTTCTCTCCGTCACCCCCCTCTCTTCTCTCCGTCATCCCCCTCTCTTCTCTCCGTCATCCCCCTCTCTTCTCTCCGTCATCCCCCTCTCTTCTCTCCGTCATCCCCCTCTCTTCTCTCCGTCATCCCCCTCTCTTCTCTCCGTCATCCCCCTCTCTTCTCTCCGTCATCTCCCTCTCTTCTCTCCGTCATCCCCCTCTCTTCTCTCCGTCATCCCCCTCTCTTCTCTCCGTCATCCCCCTCTCTTCTCTCCGTCATCCCCCTCTCTTCTCTCCGTCATCCCCCTCTCTTCTCTCCGTCATCCCCCTCTCTTCTCTCCGTCATCCCCCTCTCTTCTCTCCGTCATCCCCCTCTCTTCTCTCCGTCATCCCCCTCTCTTCTCTCCGTCATCCCCCTCTCTTCTCTCCGTCATCCCCCTCTCTTCTCTCCGTCATCCCCCTCTCTTCTCTCCGTCATCCCCCTCTCTTCTCTCCGTCATCCCCCTCTCTTCTCTCCGTCATCCCCCTCTCTTCTCTCCGTCATCCCCCTCTCTTCTCTCCGTCATCCCCCTCTCTTCTCTCCGTCATCCCCCTCTCTTCTCTCCGTCATCCCCCTCTCTTCTCTCCGTCATCCCCCTCTCTTCTCTCCGTCATCCCCCTCTCTTCTCGTCCCAACCCATCAGGCCAGTCTAGCCCTGTCCATGGAGCCAATCACGCGTGCCTACGTCTTCCCCCACCTGACAAAACTCCTGAAGCAGACCCCCTGGGCGCTCTTCCCCAAGGCCCCCACGCGCTATGCCCGCCAGGTGGACTGGTGGGCGTACCTATTTAACTGCACCATCGTGCTCGTGTGGGACACGCTCTTCTTCATCCCGGCTGCCATCATGTCGATCTTCTCGCACATCATCGCTCCCATCGTGACCAAAGCAGTGCAAAGGATGGTGGTTACGGTCAGCTTTGGGCTGTCGCCGGGGGATCTCAACTATGCATACATCTATGTGGACGAGCAGCTGGACTTGGATTTGGCTACGCAGCAAGTCGACCACTGGAACGTGCAGGTGGGTGTGATGCAATAATTCTATAATGGTGAGCATGTGAACTATGTATCTATATGGATCTATATGGATCTATAAGCATCGATATGGATCTATATGGATCTATATGCATCTATATGGATCTATATGCATCGATATGGATCAATATGCATCTATATGCACATATATGGATCTATATGGATCTGTATGCATCTATATGGATCTATATGCATCTATATGGATCCAAATGGGATCTATTCTCGCTATGTCCCTCCCCCCATCTCTCCCCTTGCTTCTCTCACCACTCCGCTTCCCACCCCTCCACCCCCCATC